CGGAGGCGGTCAGTAACATGAAGTGGACGGGACAAGAACTGACCTTGATCTCAAAGTTCGAATCCTGCTTGACCTGGTTATATTTGGGGTGGAGGGGTGGGGGTGTGTGTGTGAGCACAATACCAGAGTTGTAAAGGTTTACGATCTGCATTACTTCGGGCATTACTCCCACACAAGCAGAGACCCGTGAAAATCTTAGTTGTCTTGCTTGTCGTAAGAGGCGACTAACGGGATCGGGTGGTCAGTCTCACTGACTTGGTTGACACATGCCATTGTATCCCATTTGCGTAGATCGATGCTCATGCTGTTGATCACTGGATTATCTCTAACCCCTGACTGAAAACTGGTTTTATAGTGCTAGCCCACTGAGATACCATGCCGCAGTGAAGCATGAATACCCACTCTCAGACACATTATACTGACTCAGAGCCGACCAGTCCTTGTTGTACCCAGTAATGCCGAGCGCCAGGCAGGGACCAACAAGTACCGGAAGATCGCGGGTTCGATCCCCGACAGCGTCATGCCAAAATGACGCGGTCGGGGATCGAACCCGCGAACTTCCGTTCTCCGGGCGGACGCTCTAACCACTACACCACGGAGGCGGTCAGTAACATGAAGTGGACGGGACAAGAACGACCTTGATCTCAAAGTTCGAATCCTGCTTGACCTGGTTATATTTGGGGTGGAGGGGTGGGGGTGTGTGTGTGAGCACAATACCAGAGTTGTAAAGGTTTACGATCTGCATTACTTCGGGCATTACTCCCACACAAGCAGAGCCCGTGAAATCTTAGTTGTCTTGCTTGTCGTAAGAGGCGACTGAATCCCATTTGCGTAGATCGATGCTCATGCTGTTGATCACTGGATTATCTGGTCCAGACTCGATTACTTACAGACCGCCGCCATATAGCTGGAATACTACTGAGTGCGGCGTACAACTAAACTCACTCACTTACCCACATAAGCAGACACTGACGTGACAGAATTGACATTCTGTTTGGGCTCTGCTTGGTAACTCAACTCAACTCAACTCACTTGCTCCAGTAACTTTGACATGAAAACAAAACAAGAAAACAAAACACATAATGATGCCTCAAACACTCTGTGCCTGTAAATGAGATGATGCGATGGGTACACGTGTCTTTCAAAACAACGCTGCCGACTGATATTGATGGACTAACGTCACGGCAGGTGTCACGCTGATTGACGTCTCATTGACGCCTCAATGACGCGCATTATACTGACGCTGCATCTTGTCTGGACTAAGTAGATTTCACCACATCAAAACCAATAACTATCGCGCCAGTAAGCTGCAAGGCCAGGGTCAATTAACACCATCAGACAAACTCGCTCACAGGCTATCAAAAGATGAAACTGTGTCGGAATGTTTTAAATAAAACACCCCGGGAAATTGTACAAGTATAAATACTCTCACAGACGAGGTGCTATTATTGAAACATCAAAATATATTTTAAAAAGAAATGCTGTTATTTGAAGTAATATTGAATACTCTTTAAAATATATGGGGTGTATTGAACATGTAGGTTTGTACACACACACACACACACACACACACACACACACACACACACACACACACACACACACACACGTAATTCAAATAGAATGTGAAATACACACACACACACACATGTAATTCAAATAGAATGTGAAATACACACTCACATGTAATTCAAATAGAATGTGAAATACACACTCACATGTAATTCAAATAGAATGTGAAATACACACACAGACACATGTAATTCAAATAGAATATGAAATACACACACGTGTAATTCAAATAGAATGTGAAATACACACACATGTAATTCAAATAGAATGTGAAATACACACACACATGTAATTCAAATAGAATGTGAAATACACACATGACCTCAAATGTAATGTGAAATACACTCACATGTAATTCAAATAGAATGTGAAATACACACACACACGTGTAATTCAAATAGAATGTGAAATACACACACATGTGTAAATTCAAATAGAATGTGAAATACACACACATGTAATTCAAATAGAATGTGAAATACACACACACATGTAATTCAAATAGAATGTGAAATACACACACACACGTGTAATTCAAATAGAATGTGAAATACACACACACATGTAATTCAAATAGAATGTGAAATATACACACACATGTAATTCAAATAGAATGTGAAATACACACACACATGTAATTCAAATAGAATGTGAAATACACACACACACGTAATTCAAATGAGATGTGAAATACACACACACAGAGTGTTTACTGAGCTTAACGTTATGAAGTGACAGCCATATTTGTATTTTTAGTTTTCATTGTTAACATGATACATCACTACAAACATATTTAAAGTAGAATAAGCATCCCATATTAGACAATGCATAAAAATATAAAATATTTCCTTGAAATCAGGATTACCTACTGGAAGTCACGGAGAAAACTGTCACATTTCTATATATATGGGGTGTATTGAACATGTAGGTTTGTACACACACACACACACACACACACACACACACACACACACACACACACACACACACACACACACACACACACACACACACACACACACACACACACACACACACACACACACACACACACACACACACACACACGTAATTCAAATAGAATGTGAAATACACACACACACACATGTAATTCAAATAGAATGTGAAATACACACACACATGTAATTCAAATAGAATGTGAAATACACACACAGACACATGTAATTCAAATAGAATATGAAATACACACACGTGTAATTCAAATAGAATGTGAAATACACACACATGTAATTCAAATAGAATGTGAAATACACACACACATGTAATTCAAATAGAATGTGAAATACACACACACACACATGAAATTCAAATAGAATGTGAAATACACACTCACATGTAATTCAAATAGAATGTGAAATACACACACACACGTGTAATTCAAATAGAATGTGAAATACACACACACATGTGTAATTCAAATAGAATGTGAAATACACACACATGTAATTCAAATAGAATGTGAAATACACACACACATGTAATTCAAATAGAATGTGAAATACACACACACACACGTGTAATTCAAATAGAATGTGAAATACACACACATGTAATTCAAATAGAATGTGAAATACACACACACATGTAATTCAAATAGAATGTGAAATACACACACACACATGTAATTCAAATAGAATGTGAAATACACACACACACGTGTAATTCAAATAGAATGTGAAATACACACACACAGAGTGTTTACTGAGCTTAACGTTATGAAGTGACAGCCATATTTGTATTTTTAGTTTTCATTGTTAACATGATACATCACTACAAACATATTTAAAGTAGAATAAGCATCCCATATTAGACAATGCATAAAAATATAAAATATTTCCTTGAAATCAGGATTACCTACTGGAAGTCACGGAGAAAACTGTCACATTTCTATAAATTACTAAACCAAAGCACAGGTTCGGATTCCTTCACTGAAATCCCGACTTTTAGTTTCCGGCTTCTGAAACGTATGTGTCAGACATTTGTCGGCTCTCTCGCCTAGTCATTTCTATTGCCCCTTGTCTCGCTTTTGTAAGTTGAGCGAGTGAGTGAGTTGGCTTATACGCCGCTTTTTGCAATATTCCAACACTATCACGGCGGGGGGACACCAAAAAATGCGTTTCTGGTGTCCCACGATGTACCAACAAGGGGAATCGAACCCGGGCCTTCGGCGTGACGAGCGAACGCTTTAACCACTGAGCTATGCCCCCGACCACATGGGTACAATGTGTGAAGCCCATTTCTGGTGTCCCCTGCCGTAATATTGCTTGATTAGTGATAAAAACGGCGTAAAACTACACTCACTCAATCACAAACATGATTGTGTTCGTACACATTACGTCACTATGATGACCGTGTGTTATCATTTCCCGGTCGCATGGATCTTTGTTCATGGTATCAACCACTTGTTTGTCATACCGGACTCGAACAGACTCAATACTGATAACTGCTGCTAAAAACATTATACACCGACTCACCTCAGCATAACGCGCAGTCATTCGTGCACAGCAGAGCGTGTCATTCAGGGCGTACGCTGTCACACCACTCACGGAAACAGCCGACATCGTACGATACTCGAGTGGCCTGATCAATACTCGCCAGTACAGTTAGCTCGGCGCTCCCTGTGTGACGAAACACTTACTGTCGTTCAGTCGAATGGCGCATTGTTGTCTGCATCTCACAACCGACAGAAACAAGTCACATATTTTCCAATATCTACGTTTCCCGAGGCCACGATGGTACAGTGGGGAGTGCAAGGATTTACACTTAATGGGAAAACTTCTAAAACTTTATCATTAAACTTTCATTGGAGTAACGCTGCAGACAATTTTAATCAAGCAGTTGGTGAAATCTCCACACCTTTGGGAATAGCATACTAAGAAAGATAATTATTTTTCCGAAATAAGAAATACCTGAAAAGAAGAATAATTAGATTACATGATCGTAAAAATTGAAAGAAATAGTGATTTAAAACTCTCCTCCTTTTACACTTTTTCATTTCTGTGAGAATTGTGTCTCGTCAGCGAGCGTCAAATATTTGCAATCTAATTTGCATTGTAACATGACACGTGAATTCTACGGAACATTTAATAAAGCCGTGCATTATCATGCTAAGCGTCAGTTATCCCTTGGGATGCTGGAGAATTTGACGGACATCCATGAATTAATATGTCAGTAATTTTTATTAACCTCATATCGACCTCTGAACTAAAGATTGTCAGTGTGAGGCCAGCTTTCATCCCTCCGCCATTCAGGGGTTCTTGACATCTAAAAATAGACACGATAGCCAACGCCGACCAATGAAAAGGGGCGGATTTGCCCGCGGCTCGAATAACACAACTAGCCATAAGAATACCTTCACAACGGTAATACCTAAGGGAAGTAACTGCGGTCGGGTCGAGCGTACTGCAACTGCGTGTCGTGTACAGACCAGACCCAAACAAACGGGAAGTTTACAGTTCACAAATTTTTATGAGCAGACGAGAGGCTACGCATTTGTAGATTTCCAGCGGGATGGGTGTGAATATTTACATCGTGTTAGCTGGGATTCTTATTCTTGGAGCTCAAGGTAATCTTTTGATATTCTTTCAAGGTTGCACGGAATTTTGGCGATAGTTTGGGGTCACAGCTTTCAGCTGTGTAAAGCGGTATGGCAGTCACCCTACAAGTGAATGCTGCCGAATTGTGTATATCCCCCGCTACAACGCGCTCGGGATTATAACCACGGTGTTTCGACGCTTCCATGCTATGTTCATGAATTATTACCGATTCTATCACTTTGAAACTTTCGCTTACACATCGCACGATATCAATTTCTTAAAAGGATTCCACCAGCTCTTTGAAATTGGTCAAGTTGGTGTTTCATAAGCGTTCGTAGAGTTGCTGTTGGTTTATACACTGACATATTTTCTTACAGCCCCCTCGACATAGCAATGTTTATGTTTCGGGGGAGTTTATTTTGTGTGGTGCATATCTCAACGTCGCAACAAGCCGCTCCCAAACCATATCGCGGTTTGTGTTGAGAGTGTAGGACTGCGAGAGGACAGTGGTTGCATTCAATGCTATGTATTGTATACAAAGCCTGGCGGCGCGATGTCGTTTGACAGATGATGTGAAACACTCCATTTTCCGCGTAAACTATCGGATTGTCAGTGTAGATTTGGGTGTGGGTGTGGATTACTCTATTGGCAAGACAGAGAGACAAGTTAATTTTTTGGCCGTTTCCTGTGGACTGATAACAAGAACTTAAAATTAAGATATATAACCGCATTGTGCGTGTGTTATGAAATCCCCCATACTGACTCTAGCGCCCTTGCTGACATTATTTTATCACAGAATACACAGAGATGAGATACCCTGTCGTTTGTTATCAAATACAGAAGAGATATTATCATTTCAGAGTGATATTAAGTGTGGACATCCGATTTGGTGGTTTTTCCGACTTACACATTGTTACACCTTTTGACATAAACATTTAGGTTGATATGATATACATGATTTAAAAAAAATGTAAAAGACCTAATTCAAAATTATATTATCACCCACATGGTTTTGATCCGCATTTGTTGAAATCAACCAGCTTCTCATAAGTCTGTCGTTTAAGAAGCATTCGTGTCGAAAATATGCGACAGTTTAATTATTTTATACAATTAGCACCCCCACACAACATCTGTGAGTAAGGATCATTTTACCTCAGCTGGTGATTTCTTTGTTTACGACAGCGCTCGTGTAAATAAACCATCGGAGCACTGTTTCGAGTACATTCAATCCGACTTGATTCACATATGTAGTCAATAACAGGTCGAGACACCCTTTGGTTTCCCGTCCAACAATGCTAGCATTCCGCTGCCGTATGTTTACTGCAGCAATGGCTAGGAAACTATCGACACTTTCAGCAGTTTAAAATATGTTAGGTGAGACACGATCTGGTAGATAGAACATGGGAAGTATCTCCTGTCTACCCACCCACAGGCCATGAACACTGCTCATACACATCGCACTCTGCCAGCATCGGTCATCATTTTCCATTTACCAGAAGGACGTGGTATATTTTATTGTCAAAAACATGCATGGTAGACACAAGTTAAGGCGGAATATCACTTAAGGAATCTAATAATAATTTCTCTTTCATGTTTGAAAATAAGACGATGCATATTTTTGTTGTTGTGCATATGTAGATCGCTTTACCAGAAACCATATGTTTAAACCCACGTAGGTACACCATCATGTCAGAAAGCAGCATCACTCGATTAAGGGGAACCTTTGATTTGGAAAACATTACTCAGCTGACGACTCTGTTTTGAAGAAATATAGTTTCTGTACTTGATCTAAGTTAAGATATATGTCACACTGAACCTCGTTGACCCAGTTTCTTCAAAATCGAATCTTTCAGACTGACTGGTTGTCGGTAAAGTCATTGAGTGGCATTTAGAGAATGATTGACATCAGGTAGAGTAAAATGTACTCCGAAACGTCGTGGCACCAATAAAACGTTCCCTTTATTTCTCGCTATAAGCAAAAAGCCCATCACTGATTTAGAAGCTCTGTGTACGTGCCACGTGGCTGTCCAGAGTTAGTCTGTCTCAGAGTCCCTGAACCAAAATATTTCCCTACAGTGCTGCCCTCCCTGCAATGCTAAAGCCCTAAATGAAGCAAGTCTAGGTTTTCAAAGGTTTTTGTCTCCCTGGGGCTCATTTTCAATTTATATGAGTTTATTTGTTACAATTAAAAAAGAAGCATATCAACTGGCCATCAACATGACCGTAGCCAACAATGACATGTGCAGTGCAGCTACATGTGGCAGAGCGTTGGCCGGTTGTAGTGTATTGTGAGGTTGAGTCCCCAGTAGCAGGGCCAGTTTCTGTACATATATCCAGTTGCCGTAGCTGACACTGCCCTGTGTTTATTTGTCTCATTGCAAACCCTTTAAGATTACAATATCTCCAGATGAATGTTTTGAAAATGAACATGCACTCCCTTGGTTAGGTCACACCCATGTTAACAGTGTTAAATTGTCGAGTGCAGTTCCATTTGCGTCAATGTCTACAAGCTTTCGCAATATTTTTGTTCTGTGATTACTACCATATGTCAGATTACTCTGCTCGCACCTTCATAGAACATGGGACTTATGAAAGTGGACTAGAACATGGAACCAATGGCATAGGACTAGAATATAGAACCTATGACAGGGGACTAGAACCTAGACCTTATGCCAGGGGGTTAGTACATAGAACCTATGACAGGGGACTAGAACATGGAACCTTTGACAGGGGACTAGAATATAGAACCTGTGACATGGGACTAGAATATAGAACTTTTGACAGGGGGCTAGAACATTAATCTTTTATGACAGGGGGCTAGTACATATAATCGATGACAGGGGACTAGAACATACAACCGATGACAGGGGACTAGAACATAGAACTTTTGACAGGGGGCTAGAACATAAATCTTATGATAGTGCAGTAGAACATTGAATTCGTGACAAGGGACTAGAATATAGAACTTATTACGGGGGATATTAAATCCAGTGTGGCCAAGCACATCCACCAAACACATACTTCCCTGCATGTCGCCCCGTAACCTGTAGCTGGGGTGAAAACGTCTGGCATCCTGTCTAGTAATTGCAATAATTACCAGCTTGTCTCGGAGCAATAAAACCGTCATAGCAGTTACAGCGTCCATTTGTTATCTGTGGGTTAAGACCCGCAATCGGTCATCCCGATGGCCACGTTTGGTATCCTGTTACTATGAAACGTACCAACCCTATTGTCGTTTTCAACACCATGTTATTGCTCTAGCGTTGGATAAACAATAGACCTTTAAGAACTAAATAACTTGGTAGGTACGTTTGCCATCATGGCAAAGTCGAGAGTATGTTCCACATTTCAGTGGTTCCGAAAATTATGAGCTGCAAACGATTTCATGGAGATTTTTGTCTTTTTCGTTGGCGATGTCTGACTTGCAAAGTGCATTCATTTCATGGGAATATGTGCAACCAGGATGTAAAATTCAAGCTCAGGTCGGCATCCATCCATTTCAAACGTTACGTTTGCGTTTAGGTGAGGTTTAATTGCAAAGTCTGTCAGACTCGAGACTTTGCTTTAAGGTAAAAACGTGTGTGATCATAAGCCATGATATGAAATCGTTGTGAAATGTTCAACGCATGAGTTTGTTCTTAGCTGCAGCGACAGTCATATTGTGTTATTGCCTCCAAATTATTCCCATGTGACTTCCGGTTGTCATGCATGGTGGGAAAGCCTATCCATCGTGTCACGTGATGACCCTCTGATTGCAGAGTCAGGAAGAGGCGACACGGGGGCAACCCTATCTGATCATGCACGCCATATTTGCACATAATTGTTTTGTTTTTCTCAGCTGAACAAATCCCGGGTCTCTGACACAGCTTTAAATGTACACAGATGTAATTGAAATCAAGCTGACAACCTTTTGACGAGTAATCATCGCCAAGTATTTGAGTCGTTTTCTGAGCTATCGATGTCAAGAGCTTTGACATTTAGCATCCTAATATCCCATTTATGATTTGAACACTGTATTCATATCATCACGTGTTTCGAGAATGAACTGCGGCTACATGACGGAATAATGTACTCCAAATTGTGAATAGGTTGATTTGAAACAAGACTGAACGTAATGCTCTACATAGAGACAGTAGGGATACAAGGCGTCGAAGATATAGATATCCGCGAATCAGCATTATCAATTAGAGTTGCAAAGTTGGCCTGATGGACACACACCATCGTTTCTGAAGTGACCACGGCCAACGTTCATTTGCCAGGCATTGTTAATACGCAACTCTGAACTGGTGGCATAAAGTATCAAGGACTGGTCCTGCCTACTTGCAAGTCAATATTTGAGATACAGAGCCTTGTGTTAGTGCATATGGGTATTATCAAACGATCTTTGATTACTGATATTAATGATAAACTCGAGTATATTGCCCCGCCTTGAGGAGCAGCACCACACTGGACAACATAACGCAAAAGTAATTGTTGACTTAAGGGACAGCGTTCAGCTAATGTGTGTAATCTTCGGCCACGTGTAAACATCGCGCGGCCAGATTAATTTGTGATATAGGTGATTGCAGCCCTTCAGCCAATCTTCATTTGCAAGATGATATGTCACCGAGACTGACTACAGGGTCAGGTTTATTATATACCCATGGGTTGTTTTATTGGGGATGAGGCCGAGTCATGTAAGATGTTCCTTCCCGTCCTCTGATCTTTGGCTGCTGCTTGTGGCGGCCTCTTGTGTTTTCAAATGCAATTTACACAAGTTATCGTAGAAAATGAAGAAGAGTATTTCCGGTACAAAAGCACTGGATACCAATCGGAATTGCACAGTCTGCCGTTATCCCCGTTGATTTCGTATTTCCCTGCCCTCTGCACTGACGTTTATCTTCCTGTAATTGAAATATTGAAATATATAGTTACTCCTTGGTGAACAAAACGCTCTTGACAAACCGCATCCTACCATGAGCACATTTGTGGGACTCCAGACTACATTCCATAACATTCCTCAACATTTATCGCCCGGGCAACATGTGCT